GCCACTTTTAAGTTTCTCCTCTGCAAACATTTTAACTGTTGTGTATTTCATGATGTAGCAGAATGATGTAATTCAGCTGCCTCGCCTGCGAGTCTCATGTCACGTGGGTGAACTTGGACTGCATGGGTGCTGCAGCTCTCAGCGGACATTCAGAGCAGTATGAGGACATGCTGCGTGTCCAAGATGGTCGAACTGGAGTCTATTTAATGGTGGAATGAGATCCTCTATGGAGAAGAAGCTGAATGATATTTGCACTGCCACAGTAAAAACTAGTCTGGAACATAAGAGATGGGGGTAGGTTGGAAAAGTAAGTAGACTGAACTTTTAAAATTAGAGATGGATGACTGTTCCGCACCTTTTATTTTCTAATACAGACTAGAAATAGATAAAAATAAGTCTGCAAATGTATCTGGGTGGCCTCCCCAAATGCACACTAGTTATTGAGAGCCTGTCATTTAATAATTTCAGCGGTTTACACATCCCCTGCCCGGGCATCCCTTCTCCAGGAGTTTTGGGGAAAAAATTAATCTTTTCTTGGTGACATCAGAACAATTAATTGGAATTACATCAAGATAATATTAAATGATCCTCACCTTTGACTGGGCTACAGTCAGATCATCATTGGAGTTGGGTAAGTCACCATGCAGGGACTGCTGGTCCTGAAACAAACATTTTTGTTTGAGTAGTTATGAAAAACATCATGGGAGTCAGGGAATGTTTTATCAGATTTTCTAACTGATCACTTTCAGCTTTGGCTTGTTTCGGCAACTTCTTTAACATCCCAGCATACCGTAGTTTTTTTTCCCCCTGAGACAAACAGGAACAGTATGCTCGTGCTCATTTATCACAGATCTCTGTGTGTACATTAAAATTCCACGTGACGTTATCTCTGCTGCCACTACAGCAGCTGCTGGACCTCACCTTGTTTTTAGACAGGCTGTCGCTGCTGGCAGAAAGCTCACTGTGGGCACTCAGATTCTCCTGAAACACCAAAGTCATTTGAGAGGGAAAAAAAATATACAGATTAGGGCTGCCACGATTAGTCGACTAGTCACGATTATGTCGACTATTAAAATCGTCGAC